TCCACATCAAGGGCAATCAGAAATTTGTACAACATGAATATTTGCTTCTGAAACAAAAATTACAAATTAAGTGATAACAAAAATACACAAATCAAATGGACCCTAAACGAATTTCTAATGAAGTCTTTTCCCCTTTCCCCCCATCACCTAAAACTTCTTTCTTCAGCCTCATTCTGCTCCTTTTCCTTTCTTTGCTTGGCCATGAACTTCTGTTAAAAGCAATGTGCAATATAAAATATTTATTAGGTGTTGCTCTGCTGTGTATGAAAACATATCTAATATAGTTCACTGAATTTACAATTTAAAAGAGCCTGATCCTACAAAATAAAGATTAGAAACACAGTGCCTTACATTCTTTCCTTCCATTCACCAGTCATCTGATATTTATGCTATACCAGGCATTATGCTTGGTGCTTGGGGATTCAGTGGTCAACAAGATAGGTAAGGCCCTTTACCTCATGGAGCTTACACTCCAGCAGGGTAAGAGAAACAATAAAAGAATAAATAAATAAGACAAATTTTGGTGCTGGTAAGCACTATAAAGGAAAGAAATACAATAAGGTAAGTGACTGAGGTTGACCCTTCTTGGGGGTGGGAGGGAGTTTTGTACTTTTAGCTAGGTCTTTCTTAAGCAAAAGCCTTTCTGGGAAGCTGATATTTGAGTCCAGACTTAGCTAAAAGTGGGGAAGAGGCAGCTATCCAAGTGGGACTGGGAGAGGGCAAAGGAACAGAGATATTAAGGTGCAAAAGCAGCAAAGGGGCCTTTTATATGTATGAAAAAAAAGAAACTGAGAGCACCAGAAAAACTGAAACATAGTGAGCAATAACAGACAGTGAGGCCAGAGAAACAGAAATGAATCAGATCATGTAGGGCTTTATAGACCTACAAGAAGTTTGGGTATTATTCCAAGTGTAATACAAAGCCAGTGGAAAATATGATGGAAAAATGACACAAAGTTAAGAGCATAGCTAGTATAGTATAATGGTTAAGGGTTTGAGGCTAGAATAAAACAGAGCTGGGTTAAAATCCTAGGTCTACCACTAACCAGCTATGTGATCTTGGGATTAGATACTTGGGTTTAGATACTCTTTAAGCCTGTTTTCCTCACCTTTAAAACTGGAATGATTAAAAAATAAATAAATAAATAATAAAAAAATAAAACTGGAATGATAGCATCTACCTCATAATGTTGATGGCGGGAGGGGATTAAATAAGCTTCCAGCAAATAACAACTCAATGAATGTTAGTTGAGTGTTGGTGCCACAAATTCAATTTAGAGGATATATAAAACAACTCTCAAACGTTCGGAAGGAATCAGAACCACTGCTTCAACTATAGCTAATGATGATTCTCTAAAGTAGCACCTCCTAAAGATGAGTACAACTTAAAAGGGGGGGGGGTACAACTTAAAAGGGGTTGTCATTAAATCAGTTTAGGAAATGGGTTAAGTAAAGTTAAGCAGATTCTGACTAGGTAATTCACAAATTTTAATATGCTATATGTCCGACGCTGCAAGAGGCCTCAGAATACATGGTTTCCCACACTTTAATGGAGAGTTATATGGGACTAGTTGTCTGTACAATCTACCCTGGGGGATGCTGCGAGAGGAAAAGGAATAAAGACTAGAAGTTCCTGGCAAGGTACAGTGAAGACTGTACTTCTGAATTGTAGAGGGATAAACTGGCACCAATCTTCAAAAGTTCTCCCGAAGGGAAAGAATATACATTCTGGGCAAACACTTAAGTAGTTTAATTATACCACCTGAAGAATTTTATGAGGTGTTAAGAAAAAAAATTTACCTCTGTATTTTGCTTATGACGTGTACTCTTGCAGTGATTTGTCATTGCTTTTTCACCTGAGTAGAAGAGGGAACAAATTGGACAGAAGAATCCAGCCTTCGGTACAAGAAAGTCTAAATCTACAGGACAGGAAGAGGGGGAAGAGAAAGGAGGAAAATTAATTATCTATAGCTGTGTTAATCAATTTAGCTAAACATGACAAACATGCTAATCATAGTATATACTTATATACAAACATGCTATATACTGCTATGTATCTAGGGATCAAGAGCAATTAAGCCTTTAATCACAGAACCGAGGGCTTTATTTTTTAACAAATTCTGTAATATTCCAGAGCCTCCAGGATACCATGAAATTTCTTCAGAATAGCAATTCGTTTGAAAAAGAATCTAATGGTGTTTTTGAAATGAATGCCTTTGGAATCCCATTAAAATAAAAGAAGAAAAAAAGAGGCAGAACGATGGGCAACTGTTTGCCTGAGGACGCTGAGTAAACAGATATGGTGCTCCTTTAGCTCATTTTAGCGGGCCACAGTTTGCTAGCTAAGCTTTTCAGCATGTTTACTGAAATTTCCGCCTGGGCAAGTATAACTTAGTTCTTACCACAGGAGCAAAGAAAGTACCAGGAATAAAAGAAAAGACTTATCCCAGACTTTTAAGAATGAAAAAAAAAAAAAAAATCCTTGCCAGGTCATCTAAACACTTACTATGGTACCAAATTTTTATTTCATATGGGTAAGGAAAAATGCCATGTTTACTTTACCTTCAGGGACATCAGGTACCACTGATTTCCCTAAAGAAGAGTCCTCAATCTTCTTACGTTTTCGTTCTGGTTCTGAATCCTTTAATCCAGATTCGTCATCAACTAAAATCATTAAATTTTTCAAGGAAAAGAAATTATTCAAAATAGATTTACAGCCTGTAAAGCTAACATCAGATAATCCCTGCATACAAAGTTTAATTTATGGCTCATCTCTCTAAGTAAACCTTCCTTGGCTAATCCCACTGGACCACTCTTCCAAGATTCTTGGATGTTAGGAATAAATGGACTAAAGCTAATAGCATATTTTATTTATACATTGTTCTCGAAAGAATTTCAAGAGTAATGGAAGAAGTTCAAGTTCTATAATTACTGTCAAAAGTGTATGTAAAGGGCTGGGTAGGAAAGAGTGTGGACTGAGGAGGAAAGGACGTGGGCAGAAAATAATTCTCATGCCCTTGCACTGAGGCCCACCCAATCAAGAAAAACTGAGCCTAAACTGACAGAGATCCCTGTCCAACAGAATCACAAGTGACATCACAAATGTTCAAGTCCAGCAAAGTAAATCACATGTGAGAAACATTCAGTGTTGGCAGACTCTGCATAATATGATCTTGGGGAAGACAAGAACGGAAACTGGTTCCAAGCAATCCTGGTTACCCTCAGGAGCTGTAACACCTTACTATTACATGGTAACTGACAAGTCCCTTTCACATATATACCCTTCATTTAGCTTTTATCTCATGTGAGATAGGCAGGTCAAATCATTATTCTTATTTCTTCATAGATGGAGAAAGCAAAACCAAGACAACCAACCAAAATCAAAACTAAGAAACTGGTATGCCCAAGACTGCAAGGCTTTTAAGTAACAGAGGCTAGAATCAAAGTTTGTGACTTCAAGTTCAGTGCTCTCTTCATGCAACTGGGCCACTCTTCAACAAATCTGAGGGGATGGACAGGAACCATGAAATCATTATTTATTCCTCTCTTATTCCTTGTGTTTTACTGGTCCTAAAGAGTCGATTAAAAAAAGGCTATCTCCCTTTTCTTGACCTGATTAAAATAGCCTCTAGTCTCTTCCTACAAAAGTTTATTCCCTCATCAGAATAACTAATAAATCTTCTTAAACATATTTGCTCCTGCTACTCCAAAGGGATGTTTATGTTATAATAATAAATATGTATTATATATAATCATATAATAATTATTTAAATAGGGGGACCTGGGTGGCTCAGTCATTAAGCGTCTGCCTTCAGCTCAGGTCATGATCCCAGGGTTCTGGGATCGAGCCCCAGGTCGGGCTCCCTGCTCGGGGGGAAGCCTGCTTCTCCCTCTCCCACTCCCCCTGCTTGTGTTCCCTCTCTTGCTGTGTCTCTCTGTCAAATGAATAAATAAAATCTTCAAAAAAAAAAAAAAGGTCTTTCTTTAAAAAATAATTATTTAAATAGATTAGAACATTTATTTTACATTTAAAATTGTTTATAAAATTACTTTTTCTTCAGCTATGTCCTTCTGTCAAACATATTGTCCATTAACAGAAATAAACTGTTATATAAGCAGTAAATAAGTCACTTGTCTCTATTTTTTAGTTGAGATGAGGCAGTTCTAAGAAAGCTGGTAGTTGCAAACAGAAATCCTAGAGGTAAAATACCCTCATGAAATTAGGAGCTAATCAGATTTACTGAAGTAATTTAGATTACTAAACCACTACCTATGGCTTGGTATCAAGGAGAGGTTAGGGAGAAGAAGAGACAAAGAAGGAAAGTACCCACTTGGCCATGGGAGACAGCTTCAAGAAAGAACACATGATCAAGTAACACATAATGCAGAGACGTCAAGTAAGACTGAATTAGGAAGAAAAAAACCTTAATAAATCAAGTTTGATAACAATCCAATGGGGGTCTCTTTATCAACATAAATTTCAGGAAGGTGAGAAAAAAAAAAATTTCAGGAAGGTGGTTTAGAAAGAAGCCAAAATACATTCAGTTCATTGAGATGAAGAAGTGAAAACAGGTGATTCCTTCCAGATACTTTGCCCTGAAAGGAAAAAGAAGAGTGGGAGCCAGAAGGATTCCAAGGTTAAGGGCATGGTTTTTTTAATGGGAAAGACCTGACCAAAATATTTTGTATGTGTGGTACCAAGGAAGATAAAACACAAGCTGGCAGAGAGTGGAGATGCTGTATTTGCCCTGGTAAATGGAAATAAAAGTAAGGTTATCCAGGGAGGAATGAGCTGGGTAAAGTAGTATATGATACAAAGGGGGAAAAGACTTACATTACACCTGGTTAGGAAATGGGAAAGAAAGAAGTGGGGCAGCACTGAGGGCCCAGCTGAAATCAGATTCAATGAACTTGGAATGAATCGCAGTTGGTAGTTTTTCCTTAGCGAGGACAGGACAGAAAAGCAAGAGGGCAAGGAGGGTGCATCAAGGACAATGTACAAAGGATCTCTTGTAGTGCTATTTAAGTCATCCTAGCTTGATTTTTCGCTTTAACTCTCTGAATCAATTAACTTGAGATCTGGAACTGTGTGCTTTTTTTCCTACCCTTTTATTAATTTTGCTATGAATATAATGGACACAATGACAAATATTTGCTGAGGGACTAAAGTACTGTCCCTTACTAGACACTGGTCCATATTGGTTTCAACATAAATTTTATCAATGTTAAGACATCTTGTTTCATTCATTGGCTGGCTGCATGGCAGCCTCCATAAAGCAAGGAATCTGGGTCCACAAATAAAAGAGCTGGTTAAGCAATGATTTCTACTTGATGCTGCAACATGGTCAGAATAATCTTTCCCGTATATCATTTCCACAAATTTGTCATGTTCTATTATCACATTCTATCACAAAAGGGATTGCCTTATTCTGTTACTCCATTCCATTATGTTCCATTATCTCTCAATTACAAAGACCAAAATCTTTATCCAGATAAGGCTGTTTCTCCCACCCCCACCCCTACTATAACTTCACTGTTTTTCTACTTTTCTTCTTAGATGGTAGACCTTTGGAACTTCAACCACTACCTTGTGTTGTGTTACTCTCTACTCTCCTCCCCACTTCCATCAACCCTGCTTTACCTTCACTAATTTGGAAGGCCTCTTCACCTTTCATTGGGTCTGTCGCAACAGCTTTTTCCGATGGTGGTGTTTTCCCAATTCTAACTCTCTTGGTTGGCGTTTTAGCTTTAAAGAGAAAGTCTAATTTATTGCTATAGTAATAGCATTCCATTCTTAGTTCAGAAGTTATTTTGATTTCCCCTAAAGTGAGCTAAACCTATTACTCTAATACAATCAAAATATTACTTAAAAGTGAAACAGCACCTTCACAAATTTTTCTAAATCCTAAATCTGAGGAAAAACTGGGAGGCAGTCCGGTATAATATCATTCTACTAATCAAAAGCTGTGTTTTCCAGTAACACAAATATACCCTTTTCATTCTAATTTGGGCACTGTAGTTTGCTTTCCAGATTTGTCGTCTTTTTTTGAAGTATGATAACTTGGGACAAAGTCTGCTCTGTAATTAAAAGAAATCTGTAAACTTGTACACATTCCTTTGGAAAATATCACAGGCCATCACTATTTGTTGACTTCTTTTATCAATACAGGGACAATTATGAGTAATGCTGCAACATAAATTTTTATAATTTTAAATGTAATCCCCTCATAAAGCAGAAAATTACCGCTTCTAAGTATCTACCTGCTAAGTGTCTTTGAATCATGGTTTTCAGATCTTCTTCCATAACATTCTCACTTATTGAACCAACTTGGGAAAAGGCTTCAAGTTTCATCTTCCTTGTGTCCACAGCTCTCTTTTTTCTATCCCCTCTTTTATCTGTGGGACGGTCATTTTTGCTTTGTGCTAACTCAACTTTTAAATCACTGTCTCCATCTTCCTCCTCTCCAACTTCATCAACAGTAACAAAATTAAGCTCTTCTTTAAGGTTGTTAAAATCTGCCAGAGAATCTTCATCCTCTTCAGTTACTTCATCCAAAGTCACTAAATGCAGATCACTGCTGTCATCCTGTATTTCATCTACAGTAACTAAAGTAGAAGGGTCTTCAGGCACCTGGGAAGAAATGAACCCAATGGGATCCCTTCCAGTATTTCCCTCATCTCCTTTAGTATTTAAAGTGGCAAAACTTAAGTCAGCCGACTCACTTAAAGGTAGCTCCTCAACTTCTCCAATTTCATCCACAGTTACCAAGCGTTCTTGTTTGAGATCTTGCTCTTCAGCCACTGACAGTACAGTAACATCTTTAGGTTCACTGTGGGAAATGCAATCATCTTGATCAATTAACTCATCTAAAGTAAGAAGTGAATTTGAATTTTTTACCATTTCTTCCATATTTATTTCTTCTTCATCAATTACTTCATCCACAGTGACTAGAGCTTGTGCTAGGTGCACAGCTCCATCTTCCTCTTCCCCAATCTCATCCAATGTTACAAAAGATAATTCCCCCTCAACCACACGAGGGGCAGGAGTTTTCCCCTTCTTCTTCTTTAAGTTAAGTTCAGAGGAAGGGGCATTTTTGAGAGCTTCTTTTCTTTTTCCCTTTAGTGGGTTTTGCTTGGTTTGAAAAGGATTTACTTCTTCTATAACCTCATCCACAGTGACAAATTCATCCAAATTAAATGGAAATAATGGTTCCTGTTGAAGAGATTAAAAAAAAAAAAATCACAGAACCGTGAACAGAAACAATTACTGATAACTGGTTAGGCTCCAAATGGTCCCAGCAAATGTGCATGAAATATCATCTGTGAGAATTTCAGTGCAAATAAGTTTCCTATAGGCTATAAATTATTTTTTAAGGCTCCACAAATGAATTAGCTCTAATTCACAAAGTAAACACCTCCAAAGGTAAAATCCTAACAATATCAAACTAATTCCACCTTTACTTAATTTCAATTAAGATTACATTTCCTAAATGATGTACAAGTTCTGAAATACAAAGCACAAAAATACATTTAAAGCATTTATCAAACAATATAAAGCATTTATCAAACTACAATGTAAAAAATTTATTGTTCCCTATTAAATAATATCTAATAAGTGTTCTAGGAGACTTAATGGACTATTAGAAGCACCTCAAATGTAGCTAGAAAGTCAACAGCTAAGACTACACCACTGACCAATTAAGATATACAACATTAACATAAAGTTTCTATTTAGAGAAATTTATATGGAAAAATCCTTACTAAGACTTAATGCCAAATATAACTGCACTTGGGAAAAAAACCCCCACAGTATCTGTAATTTGAAAAATGGTGCCAATACTAAAGAACATAAATTCCCAGCAGGACTCCTACAAATTTAGTATGCTATCAATGATCAATTACTAGCATATATAATGACATTAGAACATACACCCAGTGATTTTGGGGGGAAGAAACAAGTAAGCATTTATACTATCAACTTATTAAGCCAACAGAAACATTATCCATACTTTTGCTTCTTAAACTACTAACATCTCTCCTCCGTGCCCTGATAAAATGACCAAAAAAATATTCTATGAATGGAAAAACCTAAAATATCAAACAACAACAACAAAAATAACACATTTATTTGGCAAGAGAACTTAGTACCAGGAAAACAAATCTTAGAGCCCATCCAGTTAGGTTAAATTGAGCCATCTCAAAGAGGACCACCTATTCGGAAGTTTAAGGACTTTAGCCAAACACCAGTCTCCTTTAACACGTATGATTCTATTGTGTTTATAACCTATTGCTGTAAATAGGAGATTGGAGGGATTTTTCTACTCTAATTCCCTTCCTGCCCCTGCATAACTTTTTGCCCTGCACCATGAACACAAACAATTTAACCTAGCTCAAGGTCAAAAAACAAATTGGCGGTAGGGTCAAAAATAAAATATCTCATTCCTGTCCCTTGCTCTGTTATCAAATTATTATAGGAGAGACACTAGTTATAAGACAGATGAACTCTTCTGTGGAAGGATAGGATAGAAGGCTTATTAGTGTTAGTGAACTGTTTCTTACCTCTTTAGATTTGGAACTTCTACCTGTGGTGCTTTTAGGATTCTTTGTGTTTTGCCCAGCCAAAGCCTGAAATATTAAGTAAAAAATACAGAAAAATAGAATTTACAATTTTGTTATTAATGTTAGTTTTTAAAAAAGAATGCGAACACCAAACAATATCCAAACACATTCAATTATGCAAATAGTTAACAGGTATTCCACACTAAGTCAACAATCATTTTAACAACATAGGCATCATCTCTGTAAGTTGTAGGTAAATTCAGTTTTACTGATCTTTTCTTCCCTATACCCATCAATGTCTAAGTTGGGCAATCAGTAAGCTGATAAAGGAAGCTTCAATTTAAACGAGAAAACGGTTTCCCATTCAGAAGCAGAGTGGTAAATCACCTCAGGAGAGTCACTGCAGACTTTTTTTTTTTCCTTTAAACCACACTTGTATTTCTGACCACATTTTATCCAAATAATGCTTTTCAAACCTGTTAATAAATTACAAACATGAGCTTTATTTTTCTAAACGTCTATTGGCTTAAGTCAGTGGAATCATTAAGAGAAATGGGAGCTTGGGGGTGGAGTGAGGAGATGGAAGTACAAAACAAGATTACATCTCCTACTCCAAAGTTACAACAGCAGAGCTACTCATTTCAAAGATACACTGAGCCATTCTTCCTACCCTCCTCACCTTGTTGTTGCTGTCATGCCGTTTCATGACCGAAGGTCTAGCCTCTGTTTCCTGAGACTGTTTTGTAATAAAATTGTAATCCAGTTCAGAATCCTTGCCTTGCAGGGCTGAGATCCTTCCACTGCCTCCTCTGGTAACACCGCTCTGAGTGGGTTTCAATTTATTGCTTTCAGCCAAGCCTGACCTGGCACTTGTAGGTTTAAGGAGACCCGATTCCTTGGCTGAAAGTTTCTTTTCAGCATTTATTTGATCTCTGAGTACAGATTTCAGAAAACTTTTCTGGTTTTCGGATTTTGAAGCTGTCACTTTTGCCTTTGGAGAAGAGACCATACCAGCTTTGATGCTTGATTTAGTGCTAGATGTATTTGATACAGCCAACATACTAGTTTTACCAGTTTCATCAGGCTTATTGGCCTGACCTATTCCTTTACTGGGGTATGCCTTGGTCACAGCATTTTCTGCAGGCTTTTCTTTCATTGCTGCCATGATCTTTTCCAACTTCTCTGCAACCATCCTAGCATCATTCTTTTCAGCCTTCTCTGTTCCTATTTGCAGATCCATTCTGGTTTCCTTACTATTAAATTCATTTTCCTCCTTTTCATCCATGTTACTTTTCCCAGAAATTCCCTTTTTGCTCACTGCCTTCTCATCCCCAGTGGAAATTCCTGGTATCAGGGCCACAACACAAGTAGATGGTACTATTTCTGAAACAGTTTCATGTTTGTCCACTTCAGCTACAGCTTCTATCATAGACTGTGTAATCCCAGAAAAGAAATCTTCTGCTTCAGATGGAGATTCTTCTAGAATTCCTTTGATGTTCCTTTCTTCTATAAATGGAGTGTCAGATGTTGATAATTCTGTTTCAGGGTTAATAATTTCTGCCTCTTCCTTCTCAAAGTCACTGGTATACACCTGCTGATTTAAAACACACTCCTCTACATTTTCAGTGAATAATTCAATACTGATTGGAGTGGATGCTACAAGAGGAATTTCCACTTTGACCTCTTCTCCTTGAGTTTCAACTTCCAATGTTTCAATAGCAAAGTCAGAGTCACACAGTACTTTTTCAGGTTCTTCCTCATAAGGTTCCTCCTGCTGTACAGAAGTTTCTGTTTCAACTTTGGGAACAGTTTCTTCTTCAACCTCACTAGGTTTAAGAGAGAGACTATCAGCTGCTGTTTGCACCTCACTTTCATCAACTGGACTGTTTTTCAAGTCAGGGCTAAAAGTATTTAAAAACAAACAAAAAAAGAACACAAACAAAACACAAACAAAAATCAAACTATGATGAGAATTCAACCATTATAAATAATCCTGCTGATGCCAACTGTTAAGACTTCCTGATGCATTAGTAATAAGCACTGGGAAATCCAGCCAATCGGCATTAAAATGGTTAAGATGTTTTGACATAAATAATGTAAGCAATATAAAATTTTAAGAGATCCTCCATTGCATTGAAGATTTTAGTTCAAAGGAAATAATGGCAAAAATCTGACCACTGATATAATTCTTATGACCAATTTTTCCTTCTGTGTTACATTTGCACTAGACATGAGGAGGCTGAACATGAATCTGAGACATTTCAAATTATTAAGATCTCCCCAACAGTGCTTACTGAAATAATATGTGTATATAGTTCTACAATGTAACTAAAAGTCCATGCATTGAAATTTAAAATTTTAAGTGAATCTTACCTAAAATGAACAGAAACAGAAAATGGTAAGGAGAAAAGACTATACTCCTAACCATGTGAACTTTTTTTAAGATGTGAGACAATTTGTTTTTCCCAAGAGCTGTATTTAATAACGACACCAAAAAAAACCTTTCTTTGGAGGTATCTTTTAAATACTCTATTGGATTTAAAGTTAGAGGCAAAACCGATAGAATCACCTTAACATAAAGTAGGTGCCTCTGGCTACCTGAGTGAGAAGGTATATATTAAAAAGAAATTGTTCCAGTTACAGAGAATAACTTAGACTTCCAATACATAATTTAAAGTTTTAAGTAAAATTATTCAGAAGAAATGAAGAAAATACATGGCAAGTACATGCAATTGATCTTATTTCATTGTGGTCTTCCCAAATCCAAGGTAAACAAAAGTGTGTATGATTCTATAATTCAACTTCTTTCATTGAGACAGAGACAGAATAAACTGTTTTTATATTAATGTTCCATAGATCAGAGGTTATCTTGAAGAGTGACAAGGAAAATCTTAGCTTCCAAAACAATGTCCAGCATGCTGTCAATACAGATCAAATTTAACAAATATATTCACTTATTACATTAGAAGCACCCGGTTAGAGGAAGACACCAGAAAGTGATGCATTTCAACACCTCATAGTAAAGAATACTGGTTTTTTTCCTCCTAGTTTTCAAGGAAGGAGGGGATGAGACATCCCCTTGATAGGCTTCCCCAAAGAGTGGCCATAATATCCTTTAGTTAATGCAAGGTGATGTGTATCTGTGTCCCGAGGTGTTAATATTTCAAAACTTTGGAAAAAGTTAAGTGCTACCATATAAGGGTCTACACTTGATCTTAGCCAAAAGGCCGAGAAGCGATCCATATCAGGGTCTAATCATTTGAACCAGTAAACTGGTCTTCCCCGCGGAAGATGGTTAAGTTTAAACTTCCAAAGGAGATCTAAGGCATCAGAGAAACACCTCTTGATGAAAAGTTATAGAGGTAAAGAGTTTGAGGAATTTATTTAAGTTCAACAGTCGGTAACCATAAACCTTAATCAGTATGTATTCTACTCATTTGTATAAGCTTCCTTGGTATACTGAAAGGGTTTAAAACTTTTATTTGAAATTATTCACATCCCTTATATTCAAAAATACCAATGGCTGATTTTAAGTGTTCCAAATTCTTAGAACTAGTCAGAATAAAATTTGTGGCCAGGCACAAATATGACAAAGATAAGAAGTTCTGACATTCAGTTATAGCAGTTATGTAAATAATACTTCTCAAATGTGAGCTTTTATTTTTAAATTATAAGACTTATTTCCAATAAGGAAGATTAAATTCAAATTCCTGCCTCATTACAGAACTGCACCATTAACCCTAAAGGCTTTATAAATTAGGGTTATACAAAAATACCAATCTACTCAGCTAGAAGGATAACTGGAGATTTTGATTCCTGGCTCTAGCAAGTCCTTCCCCTTTACCATATTTAAGTTTGTCAGTAGAAAAAGCTATTGTCTTTTATACGAAATGAATCACTATGCAGTTCCATACTTCAAACAGAGTATGGACCTACTTGAAAAAATGGCTTAATACAATGTTTTTTTGTCTTTTAAAATTACAGTGCTGGGGCACCTGGGTGGCTCAGTCGGTTGAGTGTCTGCCTTCGGCTTGGGTCATGATCCCAGAGTCCAGGGATTGAGCCCCGCATGAGGCTCCCCGCTCAGCAGGGAGTCTGCTTCTCCCTCTGCCCTTCACCCTGCTTGTGCACTATCTTAAGTAAATAAATAAAATCTTTAAAATAAATAAATCAAATAAAATTACAGTGCTTTCTTCACAGAATTCATTTACCAAAAATTAATATCTATTTTTCTGGCAAATATGGGAAAAAGTCTCCGTGTTCCTCAGGTTAGCCTGGAAAGTCCATTTGAGATGTAAAATAAATGAAATTATTAACACCAGAGTCAAAAAAAAAAAGTCTTTTAGAGATCAAAGGAAAACACAGTCATATTTTGGGAAATGCACAAAAAAGAAATAGGGAAGGCATTCAGAATATAGGTATCTAATTTCCACCCCTGGCCCACTTCCATTCCCCCATAATACCAGGGTTTCAAAACTCAAAAAAAGCTGGTGTGAGAACAAAGATTAATACCATACCCTACACTTTCTGAGAAACTTTAGACTGCAACTTAACAATACTGAAGATTAGCATTTATTTAAGAGGGCCACTGGGTACTTCCCAACATTGTTCTGGGTGAAAACTGCACCTTGCATCCTTATTTGGAACCTTAATCACATGATAAGTAAATACAGTTTACATGGAAGGGGATGAGAACAGGCAAAATGTAGATTATTATTAATATATCCATAGGAGATTTCCTTTAAGTAGGAAATATATTTAAAGACTTCACACTAATTATAAACAAAAGGATCACATTCATGATAAATCAGCACCTGCAAGTGCTTCAAAAACAAAAGCAACACAACAAGCACCAGTATTTTCCCAGGATCAGTTTACTCAATAAAGAAATGTGAAGTATTCAGGCCCCATCCCACGTATTTTTTTCTAATGTCATATAAGTCAGAAAAAACTGACTGCAAAATGGAAAGTATTAGTACGAGAATTTTTAAAATTAATTTTATAAGATTACCATAAAGAATCTCTGATTGGAAAGTCAAGATAATGAGAGGAAAAAAAGACCAGAACACAGACAAGAGCTCTTCTTGCAGACCTAAAACTATGTCAAATGCAATCTATAAAATGAGATTCCTCTATAAAATGAATTTTTGAAAAAGCCTACTCACTTAGCCAGAGTTACCGTGGTCAAACCGTAGGTCTATCTATATGACATGTAGCATTACCAGCCTATTGCCCTTTGTGGGCTTTTAGAGCCAACAGTGCTGTTGGTATTACTTTTAGACATGTGAACATAATTGATATGATGGTGTGCAACTTCATAAAAAGTCTGTGCTGGCATTTACAGCAAACCTAATTGCTTAAAGTTACCACCATATTTTAAAGCACTCTTAATCATCTTTATCATTTAAAAGCCTCATATAAGAATTACTAAGAAAAATCCATAAGACATCCTGCTTTTCAGGCATCTTAAAATTAGTGCATCAAAAAAAACAAACTTTCCATATTGAAACACTTTCAAAATGCTCTTTCAAACTGATAAGCTCTTACTACATTGACTCTAACAAATAAGAGCAAATCACTTAGTATCAAAGAGGGGAAAGAATTCTCAATCAGTGATTCCAATGAAAAGCAGTAAAAAGAACGTTATTAATTGGTGGGGTGAAGGTGGTGATAAAGGTGGTATTCACCAGGATGAAAAAGTTACTAAGAAGAGAGTGCACTATATGTGGTCAGAACAAGACTGTGAGTCACTGTGTTTACACCGAAGAACAAGTTTTCATCTTTCATTCAAGTTTTCATCCATTATTTTGCTTCCTTTCCCCCACTCCAGTTGTCTTCAAAAAGTATCAGAATACATACTGAATACCTTCTTTTTGGTTTTAAGTCAATGAAATTTTAAAAGACTATACAAAATGATTAAAATTTTATTACTGTGTTTAACAATTTTGGAATAGAAAAATCTAACAAGAATGTAATGCTGATAACGGAGTCGAGTTGTTCAAGAGTCCAGCAAAACATTTCATAAAGAAGTCATATTTATGTATTTAATTCAAACTGTGTTTACAAATTTAGTTTTTCTAAAAAATCAGTAAATAACTGAAAGAGACTAAAAAACAAAACAACGCTCAGTCAAAAAAAAAAAAAAAAAAAAAAACCACACACACACACACCCCCCGTAACATTCATATATATACACAAAATGGACATGAGAGATACAAATATTTTGCTACAGGTGAACAATTATCATAAAGTACAGGAACAAAATTCAGTAATTAAATACTACGCAAAAATGTCAGCAAACTTAAAGCAACATACCTTTCTTTTCCTAGTTCTGGGTCTTTGTCAGCTTGAGCCTGTAACACAATTCCACATTTCATTAGAGGCTATTCTACCGGATTTTAAATATTTAACCCATCAATGCAATGAGTTCAGTTCTTAAAATCTAAGCTAAAAAAACAATATCACATCTTGTCCACATAACTATCAGGTGCTAGAATTATTTTCTTATTAGATAAAGAGCCCTAAGTTAGGTGATAGGGAATAACTGACACACAGCAATTAATGAGAAGAAAGTCTCCTTAATATTGATATAAATAAGAAACTCTTTCGGATGCTTGGGTAGCACAGTTGGCTGAGCGTCCAACTCTTGGTTTTGGCTCAGGTCATGATCTCAACGTCCTGAGATCAAGCCCCGAGTCAGGTTCTGCACTCAGACGGGAGTCTGCTTGAGATTCTCGCAGCCCCTCTCCCTCTGGTCCTCCTCCCGTGCATGCATACTCACACTCTCTCTCTAATAAATAAATACAATCTTTTAAAAAAAAAATTTTTTTTTTTAACTAAAAGCTTGGAAATGCTGTTTTTGAAGAATAAAAACAATCAAACCAAAATATCAACATCTTCATTGTGCAATTTTTATTTAAAAAGACTTCTATTTATAAGGGAGATTAGGTGACTTAAAAAGCTTTCTACTCACAACACTTAGAAGCGCTGAAGAAAATTTAACAATCCCTTTTTTTTTTTTTTAAGTAGGCTCCATGCCCAGAGTGGAGCCCAATGTGGAGCTTGAACTCACAACCCTGAGATCAAGACCTGAGCTGAAATCACGAGTCGGATGCTTTAACTAACTGAGTCACCCAAGCAACCCTAACAATAATCCTTTTAAACATACACACACACACACACACACACACACACACCCGTAACATTCATATATATACACCTGATACATGTGTATGTATATATACACATAATATACCTGAACCACCAAAAAATCAATGTCCTACGGCCCAAAATGGAAGCAGAATTAAAAATTCGATGCCTAACATACCACGCACCAGTCCAGGCACTGGACACATCAGTGAACAAAACAGCAAAAACGTCTGTTCTTTAAAGCTTATATACACTAGCTGTAGGCTTTTTCTCAGGGAATCGTGTGTGCTCTGAGTTGAGAATTATCTTTCTTTAGATATATTAAAAACTGAAAATTATACTTAAAAAAAATTGAATAATGTGCTTAGAGAGGATTTCTGGTGTGGGTGATGGGAGTCCCAGAGTAAATGCCTTCTTTACTGGGGCATTTTGCTGGGTATTCAGTCTACACTCTAATGATACATAACCAAAATTAAAGATGACAGCTGATAAGCCCCATCCATAATATTTACAAGCAGTCTTCCCATTCATGGGAAATGCTTATGCGGGGAGGGGTCCTCATGACAGCAGAGGAAATCTATACCAGGTACCAGTACAAGCTAACTTGCTTCTTTATTCATAAAGAGAAAAACAAATGCACAACAGAGAGCAAGATAAGGATACAAAATGGAATGAAGACATTTCAGACAATGAAATACTCCACAAAATCAGTATAGGTGCTACTTCCAGAAAGACAGAACATTAAAATTTAAAGTTAAGAAGTAATCAAAGAAATAGTAAGAGGAAGATCTTCTTCAGGTGAAGGAACACATTAATCTTTATAAATTCACTGAGTGCTCTAAAGCAGGATATATGAGTAAGTCCCAAACCAAGATAAAACCTTGCTCACTGGGCTAACCATACTGATCCTCCTTGGAGTTCCTGAATCATCAGATTTGTCCTTAAGGACTTAGCACTTGCCCTTCAGTTTAAAAACCTCCTCTCCTTGTTATTGTAGAGCTTGCTCTCTTACTTTGCTCAGGTCTCAAATAACTATTCCTCAGAGGGACTATCCCTGCCACTCTAAAATATACATTCCCCCCATCCATTACTCTCTACCCTTTTATCTTGATTGGTCTCCATAACACTTCATAGAATTTTTTAACCACCTAACATTGTGTGTGTGTGTGTGTATACACGTATAATCTTTTTATAGTCCATCTTCTCCACTAAAATATGAGCTCCTTGAGGACTAGGACATCAACTCCTCTATTTATCAATGTAATCCAATGTCTAAAACAGTGCTGGCATAGAAAAGGAATTAGACAGGTATTTGTTTAATGAACCAATCTATAAATGCTAAAAGTTTTCAAAGGAAAAAAATAAAATACATAACGATATGACTAGAATCAGCTTTCTCGGGGCACCTAGGTGGCTCAGTCGGTTAAGCATCTGCCTTCACTCAGGTCATGATGCCAGGGTCCTGGGATCAAGTCCCGCATCAGGCTCCCTGCTCAGTGGGGAGCCTGCTTCTCCCTCTGCCTCTGCCACTCCCCCTGCTTGTGCTCTCTCTCTTGCTCACTCTCTCTCAAATAAATAAAATCTTAAAAAACAATCAGCCTTCTCCTTAACAATACAGGTTAAGAGGCACCTGACTGGCTCAGTAGGTAGAGCATGCAACTCTTAATCTTGGGGTTGTGAGTTCGAGCCCCATGTTGGGTGTAGAGATTTATTAAAAATAAAATCTGTTTTTAAAACAAACAAAAGAACTACTACAGGTTAAGAAAAACAATGAAAGGAAAAACAATCTGAGCATAGAATTCTCCATCTAGACAAACTATCAATGAAATATGTAAGAGCAAAATAAAGTCAATTTCAAATATGCAGGGATTCAAAAAGTTTACTGTCCACACATACTTTCTGGGGGGAAATTATTTGATGATGTAATCTAACAAACAGAAAAGCGAACCAAGAGAGGAGGAGATAGAGAATCTAAGAAATAACAGAAATAACTCAGAAGAGCAATAAAAAGAAAATAAAGGTGTGTAAGTTGCTTTATGGAAACAAATGGCCATAAATTTAGAACAGGGAGCTTTAACAATAGAGTAGATTCTATTCAACAAATAGTAATAAATGGCCTGAGTAACATGAAGACACTCTTCCCTTTTCCTCTCAGCATCAATTGCCCTGCCACAATTGTACAGGAAAGCCATAATCCAAACACTGAAGAAAACAAAAACAGCATCATTTTGAAAAATGAATGGGGATATAAGAAAGTGACCTCCAAGTGTACAAGTTATGGACAGATGTGTATTTCCTTCTTTACAGATCCACTCTCATGCTCTTCAATTCTGTAGTAAGTATCTAACTAATCAAGGTATCAAAAATACAGATATTAATTTTCAGTACTTAGAATTAAGCCTTCATGCTTCATATGCAGAGTAACTATAGTTATACAACTAAAAGTTGCAATGTGTACCTTATTCAACTTACTGTAATTTAGACAAATTTACACTGCTCCATAAACCACGAAAATTGAAGTAGTGAATGAAACACGTTTTTAAAAGAAAGAATATCTAAACAGCATCATTTGTGCTCCTCTCCAACATTGTGGAGAGCCAATGTTTGGCTACTCTCCAACATTACAGGTAAAAAAATGAATGGGGGGTGCCAAAGAATAATATAAGGATGTTAATTAATTAGCTCATTATAAACGTAAATTAAAAACTGTTATTTTAAAAATCGGGGGACAGGATTTATTTCCATTTCCTAGTCTAGCTTAGGCTTTCATTACTTCTCATATAGACCATTATAATACCTTGAAATTAGTCTACCTGCCTCAACCATCAATTTACCATTTGTTAAATGAATATAATGAACATGCTAAAGATTATAAGGCTAGCTAAGTCTACAGTAAAGATTATGTGGGGCTAAGTCTACAGTAAAACAATGTGTTTTTCAATTTAATAAGCCATAAGAACAAGGTTCTGAGTAAAAGCTTGGGAAGTAAAGTATCGTTCAGGCAGACATTTTCTATAATTATTTGTTTCATTTTCTTTAAGTCTAAAAATTCAGGACTGTATTTTTTAGAAGAAAAATTTCTGTATCATCAGTGTTTACTATAATTCTGAACAAAGTAATAACTTCAAAATATCAAAAACACAAATTTTTTAAAATACCATGTACTGTTGAGAGAAAAAAAATGCTAAAAACTTCCGAATTTTTCCTGAAATTATCAGTTTAAACAAGCCACTCAAATCTGTGCTGAAATCAGTACCTCTCATGGGGCACCTGGGTGGCTCAGTCAGTTAAGCGTCCGACTCTTCTTTTCGGCTCAGGTCATAATCTCAGGGTCATGAGATAGAGCCCCGTGTTGGGCTCCGCACTCAAGAGGGAGTCTACCTGAGGATTTTCTCTCTTCCCCACCCTCAGCCCCTACCCCCGTTCTCTCTCTCTAAATCTTAAAAAACAAAACAAAACAGTACCTATCATTATGCATTTACTTAGAATTTTCTTTTTCTTGAGCTAGCACAAGATTTTTAGCATATTAATAAACAAAAAACATGCAGACACCAAATATAGGCCCCATTATTTACCTCCTGTTATGGAGATAAAAATGAAACTATTAGAAAGAGAAAACATCTGGGGCGCCTTGGTGGCCCGAAGGCTCAGGTCATGATCCCAGCATCCTGGGATCGAGCCCCACATAGGGCTCCTGGCTCAGCAGGGAGCCTGCTTCTCCCTTTCCCTCTGCCTCTCTCCCTGCTCATGCTCTCTCTCTATCTCTGTGTCTCAAATGAATAAATAAAATCTTAAAAAAAGAGAAAATATCTGAGTCTGAATTTCATTCTTACAAAGGCAGATTACTTATAGTTTTCATACATGTATTATTACTGTGTAAGCCAATAATGTGTAAAATCTTATGTCTTATACAAGAGTTTATAATAAAGAAAAGACTAAGTAAACTTCTATCAGGAGGCAGCCAAAACGGACTCAAAGTAGATTCTGCACTCCAGAGAGAATCATGATCATGTTACATACATGGAATCATTCTACACATATGTCCATAACAGGTATCAGAATGAATATGCTACATTTTTCAAAATTATTCAACTTATTGTAATTTAGACAAATTTACACTGCTCCATAAAGCATAAAAATGAAGTAGTGATTACAACACAAATTTTTAAAAGAAAGAATATCTAAACTCAGTACCAGTTTGGCTACTCTCCAAGAATAATTCTTGAAATTTCCTTCAGAGTACATCTTCTAGCTTCGGAAGAATGACCTTTACACTTTCTTCATTTTCTAAAAGCACAGAAGTTGATAGAAAATAATCTTACCTCTGATGAGTCCATTTTTGGAGATAATGTGCAGGTCAATACATGGTCACCTATATTCTGTGGATTTTGTTTCAGAAAGCTATACATTGACTGAGCAGATTCAGGACTATCTAACTGAAGAATTGCCTTTGGAGAAGATAAAAAAAAAAATATTAAGTAGTTCATAAAAAAAAAATAAAGTAGAATTACCATATGATCCAGAAATCCCACTTTGTGGTATTACCCCAAAAAACTGCAAGCAGGAAATCAAACAGACATTTGTACACCCATGTTCATACCAGTGTTATTCACAATAGTCAAAGGGTGGAGCAAACTAAGTATCAACAGATAAATAGATAAACAATGGATTACTATTCAGCTTTAAAAAGGAAGGTAATTCTGACATATGTTATAATATATGCTGGAAGACATTAAGCTAAGTGCAATAAGCCAGTCACTAAAGATCAAATATTGTATGATTCCATTTATAGGAGATAGCTAGGGTAGTGAAATTCCTAGAGCGGAAAGCAGAGTGGTAGAATGGTGGTTGTCAGGGGCTAGGAAGAGAGAGGCACGGAGGAATTACTGTTTAATGGACAGGGAGTTTCAGTTTGGGAAGATAAAAAAGTTCTGGAGATGGACTGTGGTGACGGATGTATAACAACGTGAATATACTTAATGCCACTGAATGGACACTTAAACATGGTTAAAATGGTAAATTTAGTTATATATATTTTAGTACAATAAAAACATTTTTAAATTTTTCTAAAGAATAGATATGTTTTTCTTCCAGACTTCAAATGTGATTACAAAGGTAAAGTTAATCTTCATTTCAAAGGAAACAAGAGAAAACAATCCTTAAAATGTTGCAAAGTCCAGGCAAAATGGAAAAGTATGATAGGAATTTTTAGGAAATTAAAAAAATACCTACCAGAAGATTAAACATATCTAAGTTCAAAATTCCTTATACCATCTGTCATCTCCCTTCCCTCCTATGTCACACTACTTCTAAAGTATCAAACATGCTCTATGTATCAAGTTAGAAGCATGTCAAAGAAATTAGTATCTACCTTTGGTGAATCAGGTACTTTTTCTGAAGCAAACACTATCAACTTTGATATGAAATCCTACCTTTCTAGGTAATATATGGTTGCTCAAAATCTAATTTTACTAGACAAGTATCTGAATTAAATATTTAACACAGAGGGCATAGCAAATGTCAAGAGGTTAGCAATTTCTTTTAAGAAACCAAACCCCTAAGTAAGGGATGATCATTTTATACTTCTTTCTGTATAACTAAACAAAAAACTTTAGAAAATATCTGGTAACACCTTTTTTCATTTTACAAATAAGAACTATCTAAAAGTGTAAGTCAACTCAGCCAAGGTCATAAAGGTAGTTAAGGCTAGATGAACTCAAGTCTACACTTTCCCATAACATAATGCTCTTTTGCACATACTACCTTTCTCCCTTGTGCAAGTTTTATTTCCCATTAAAACTTGGGAGTTCTGGGGCACCTGAGTAGCTCAGCTGGTTAAGTGTCTGATTCTTGACTTAGGCTCAGGTCATATCTCAGGGTCATGGGATCAAGCCTTATGTCAGGCTTCCCACTCAGTGGGGAGTCTGCTAGAGATTCTCCCTCTCCCTCTTCCCCTCCTTCTGCTCTCTCTCTCTCAACATAAATAAATAAATAAATAAATCTTTAAACAAAACAAAAAAACACTAGGAGTTCTGAGGAGAAAGTCATCATCTCTTCCTTCTTCTTATAGCCCAGGAGAAAATATACTGATCTATCATAGTTTGGCTAAGAAATAATGTTTATAGGTGCTTCAGTTCAGAAGATGGATTAAAAGTTGCAAACCTGAAGAGTACAGGGTTCAGTCATATATTCTCTACAGAACATATAGCTAAAACAGGAGGGACCTCATTACCTTGTTTTTATTACTCATGAATACGTGGTGAGCCACTTTTCCAAACTGAAGTCCAACACAAAGCACACACTGAAGTCCATCTTCTGGTAAGTTATCAAGATGTACAAATCGATTGTAAATTTTATCTATATTTGCCTGGAGGTTTTTTTTTTTTTAAGAGACAGCATAGAAAAAGAGAAACACAGCTGAAATATCAAACTATAAAACACAGACTAACAGTAATTTAATTTTTCAGAGGTCAGATGATATCCTCTCCCAGGAATAAGAAAATGACTATGTGAGTGAAGCCAGTGAGATCTTAGTTTTAGATTTGAGTGATCAATGCAATATACTAAAACAAGAAGTATAATCTTTCTTCTATCAACATAATATTTACCCAAAACACTTTATACCTAAGCCACTTAATATGGCTCCAGTATCTAGAAAATATTTCACAATAGGGATTACCATGTCCCTTTATTTCTTATTTTTACCAAGAGAAGATCCATCTGACACTCTCATCACCTCAATATTTTATTTTTTTAATTTAAAATCAATTAACTAACATATAGTGTATTATTAGTTTCAGAGGTAGAGTTCAGTGATTCAACAGCTGCATATAACATCCAGTGCTCATTACATCATGTGCCTTCACCATCACCTCAATATTTTAAAATTAGTAGTAAGGTTTTCTTTTATTTGTAACAGGTGAATAACCAATGTTTCCATCAATTAAACCAGTGTACAAAAGCATTTAACTGTAAAACTTACCTCTGGGTCATTTTCTTTAATCAAGGTTGTAAATATAGCTTCCTAGAAAGGCAGAACAGAGGGAAAGTGGAAGATATAAGTCTTCCTCATTCACATATTTATTTAGTCAGGATTTATAATAAAATAACCTATGTGAATAAACATTAAGCACTATTTCATAAAATGAGAAGTCAGCAAAAGTTTTGTTCCTTCTAAAAATCTTTCCTTCTTCCTAAACAAATCATTCAAGTCCCACCTTAATACACTTTAATTCTTCCTATTCCCCTAAGTACATTAAAGATTAGTAAGGTGGCGTCAGGGGAGAACATTCAAATTCATATACAAGGAATAAGAGATTTAATTTAGCAGACAATAAGAGAATTCAAATTGTAAAATAAAAAGTTAACTAAGCAAAGTAGGGGATGAGGAAGAATAGAAATGTAGGCTAGTAAAAAAAAAAACATAATAGTGCAGAGTATTAAATGTGCAATTATTTACAACTGTTGATTATAAAGAAGGCTAAGAGTAGCATGAGACAAAAATGTCAGAGCTGGGAAAGGCTAGCTAATGGACGGCTTACCAGTATAGCAAAGGAACTTTATTTTATGAGACTCTGGTTCTTGAACTTTTTTTTTTTCTTTTCAACACTACTGACACATATAAAACAATTCTACCAATTACATCAGAGTGATTCTCTCTGAAAGGCTTTCTCAAATAACTTGCATTTCCACCTTCCTCTAGAGATTCTAAAAACTGCTTCATGCCTCTTATCAGTTGATAATAAATATTTGTATGCCACAAAAAAACAGTGAAGGGTTTCTAAATCAGTTGACTTTGAACAGATTTAATTTTATATCAGTCTAGGGGTGCCTGGGTGGCTCAGTCGATTAAGCATCTGCCTTCAGCTCAGGTCATGATCCCAGGGTCCTGGGATTGAGCCCCATATTGGGCTCCCTGCTCAGTGGGAAGCCTGCTTCTCCCTCTCCCACTCCCCCGCTTGTGTTCCCTCTCTCGCTGTGTCTCTCTTATTTTTATATCAGTCTCATTGCTTCGTGGAGAAAGATTTTAAGGGAGAAAAACTAAAGGTAAGAGACATGAAGAACTACTTTAGTTGGAGTTTTCAAGAAACAAAGCAATGATGGATGGGATAAAGAGGAAACAAGCTACAGAAATATTTAGACCTAGTGATGGACCGGTTGTGAGAAAATAAGAGAAAAACTAAAGATAACATCTGGGATTCCAGTTTGGAGGACAGATAAAGGCAGTAAAATAAGAATACAGAGTTGTCTACAGATAGTAGTTTTCAACTTTTTTTCCATTCTGACATACATGAGGAATTACAGTCCCTCAATATGGAAGTAACTCTCAAACACTGGGATGGGAGACTGTGAAGAGACAGGAAGAAGCTTTCTCAATGACTCAGAGAAAACATGTAACCTGAAGAAGACACAAGCTAGAAAACATAACCAACTATAATAAACCCAATCTAAAAATTTTATATTCTAGTAAAAATGACGGTAAGTCCACTATTTACCTCGTCTTTTATATTCATGTTTTCAGGAACCATACTTATTGAGAGTTGATTTCCATCCATTGATATTGGGAAGCAGGTATAAAATTTTACCATAGAGTCTGCAGATTTTCTATTTATTTCCATAAATATCTTTTAAAATAGAAAGCACAAGAACAAGAAAATAAATGTCTTTAAGTTACTTTTTCTTGAAAAGATTTAATACTTAAGAGTCAACTGAATAACTTAGTAAACATTAAGATAAAAAAAAATGCATTCCTGAGAAAGTGAGGCCAATAGACCCAGAGTATTACAACAATAAGGAAGAAATAATGAATGACTGAACTCATAAGGCAATACTAAAGAGAGAAATAAGGGACATTCTAGTAAAGGACATTAAGGAAAATCTTATTTATCTTATTCATCATTGTACCCCTAGTACCTAGAGCAGTATCTAGCATACAGCAGATATTTAATAAATATTTAAATAAATTTAATGACTGATAAAATATGAGAATTGAAAGAACCAAAGAAATGTGTAATGATTACCAAGTTATTTTTAATTTTGTTTTCCTAATTATAAAATTATAGTTCCATACATTTTGGTTTTAATTTTCATCACTGGGTAAATGAATAGTTGAACATTCTTCTGTGTCTGATAGTCAGTGAGGTAGAAATCTTCCATATATTTGTTCATAGTTGTAATTCTTGTTTTCAAAGGAACTATCTCTGTGTCATTTGCCAATTTGTTTATTGAATTTTTACTATTTTATAGTGTAATGAGGATATGAATCTTTGTTTCTTTTTACAAATATTTTTAATTTACATCTTGCTTTATGTTAATTTTAATTCATAAATGTTTATATGATTGAATCTGGTATTTTTCACATATCTAGAAAAGTATTAAATCTCCAAATAGTTAATAATTCTACTCAACTCTAATAAAAACTGGGCAGATAATAATCTACATTTTCTGTATTTGGATTTCAATGTATCTACTCATACTTTGGTATATGATGTAAAGTATGAATCTGAATTATTCATTTCCAAATTCCCATAATTTCCCCCTATTTCAATGTACTGTCACATAAAAAAATTTTTATTAAAAAATTCATTTTTATTCTTTTATTCTTATCTCTAAATGAAAACAGCTTTAATGAAATATAATTTACATATCATAAAGTTCACCAGTACAGGTGTAGAATTCACTGGTTTTTAGTAATTTATGAAGTCGTGCAACCATTCAAATAATCTACTTTTAACATTATGTGAAACTGCATTTAACTCACTTGTATTCACTCTCTTCTACTCTGTTTTCTGAAGCACACTGGTTCTGACCACCAGTAAACATATATATATCCTACTCTCAAAGATCTACTACTACTAACCACCAGAATGGTGTTTCCAGTATTTAAACTTTCCTGAAATCTCACTCCCCTACCTTCCACAAGGTGTTTCTATTAATACATTTTGTTTTGTTTTAAAATTACAAAAGCAGTATGTACTTACTACTGAAAACGTAAAACACACAGATAAACTAAGGTTATTCCAAGTACTGATGACATATTTGAGAATGGTTACTTCCCATTTGAGTCTAATTGGTAAAACAGCAGGAATACTAGTAAAAAAAGTGCAATAAAGTTTGTTGTTATAAAACTCTGCGTTACATATTAAAGATATAAAACATTTTCTTTAGACTAAAATTTTGAGAATTTTGACACATTCAGTAAGCCATCCTCCCCATCATTAAAACTAGGTCAGATGAGAATAACATTAAAATATGGGATATCTGTTTTATATTTTAAAAATCCCTTAGCTTGAGTGGCTTAATTATTTTGAGGTGCTGCTTTTAAACCCTTTCTTTTTAAGTTTTGTGAACTTAGCGTTTTTCAAAATGTGCTTCAGACAATATGAACAGCTATTATCAACGCTTACCTTTTTATGAGATGATAAAATCAAAATATCCTTTAAAGCACCAAATGGTTTTACTAGGTTGTAAACTTCTTCTATAGAATATCCTTTATTAGGCAAATTAGAAATAAGTACCACACACATTTCCTCTGTTTCCTTCAAAACAAATTTAAGAGTTGACATTCAAATTTCTTTAACTGTTTTTGTATTTACTTAAGTTTACGCTGCAGATCATGTTATGTTAGTATTTAAACTGCATTTAAGACTAAATCTTATCAATTAAGAAGGCCGGTCTGAACCTCAAAAACAAAACAAAATGCGAATTTCCTCTCTTCAAGTACACAGCATAATTTCAGTCATACCATCTGTCCTCTAGTCGAGGCTTTTAGTTCTTTTTCAACCCCTGTTTAAAAATACAAGTTTAAGGGGCGCCTGGCTGGCTCAGTCAGGGGAGCATGCGACTGTTGATCTTGGGGTGTAAGTTCAAGCCCCACAACTGGGTATAGAGATTACTTAAAAAAATAAAATCTTAAAAAAAAAGTAAAAATAATAAAAATGCAAATTTATTTTTTTTTTGAAGTGCAAGTTTAAAAACACCAGTTCATCTCTGACAACAACTCCCTCATGCACTGCTGCCATTCCTGTGCCATGTGAGGCTCACATCCCCAAGCTCCAAATCAGAGCATATCCTTTTATCTTGCTGAATAATCTTACAGGCAAAATTAAAAAGCTTCCCTGATGCCTTGGAAACCTTTCCCTATAACCCAATCCCCACTACGAAGTAAATACTTTCACTTCTGCCTTTTCTTCTTTCAGATCTTTCTTCAAGAGGACTCTCATCAATGCCAATTTTTCCTTTTAGTAAATTTCGAGAAAATCCCCCAAAGGTGTACTGTAGTAAACTGGACAACTTGTGACTTTTCTTTTGGAAAAAAAAGGGGGGGGGGTGTGGGTGGAGACAGGAAGTTATAATTTTCATAAATCAGTTGAGAATGATTTTTAACTAGCATGTCAACTGTGTTCATAAATGGTTCCTTTGGAAGTGCTTTAGGTCAATCTATTTGTGCTTTAAAATATTTTTCCTGAAACAAAATAGTTAAGACATACTACTTAGTTACTACTTGAAGAATCAATCTACCAGTCAAAAATAAACTTATTGTTTAGCATCTGAATGATCTCACGATCTTAACCAGTAAAATCTAAATTAACAAGACATTAATACAGTCATGACAGATGAAACCACAGAAAAACAGTAATGGGAACTTTATGCCCTTCAAATAAAACTTCAAACTCTACTCGCTATTCTAAAAACACAGAGAACTGGCTGGTATTCTAAATATTAACTTATCTTCCATTTGCCTCTAAGAAAAAAGAAAAACAGATTTCACAAAATTCTACTGGTTTTAATTTGACAACCTGTTTTTCTACTCAAAAACCCACTTTGGCCTAAACTTTTTTTTCTTGGTAAAAGGTAAACCTCAAAAACATGTACAATTTATTGATAATCTGCACTTAAAACTTTTATGACTTACTGCAACTCAAACCCTATCTAAAAAGCCACAAATGATAAGAGTGCCTGGGTGGCTCAATTGGTTAAGCATCCGACTATGGATTTAGGCTCAGGCCATGATCTCAGGATCCTGAGACCCACCCTGGAGCCCGCTTAAGATTCTTTCTCCCTCTCCCTCGGCCCCTCCCCCACCTCTCCATTTAAAAACAAAAACCTAAGGTGAAGCAATAAAACTTAAAAAAAAAAAAAAGTCACAAATGACAGATTTTTCACCATGCCAAAACCTGTACATTTTTTAGTGGGTTTAGAGTAAGAAAAATATATTGTGTCAAAATTTCCTAAGCTTTTAAATAATAAGTAAAATATAAAAACTGACCTTGTTAACTGGTTCTTTTTCTGTGGCCTCCACAGCAGCTACTTAAGATACAAAATAAGGTAAGAATTCATGCAGATGTATTTTATTTACCAACAACCCTCTTTCCCCACAATAGATTAAATAGCAGCTGCATGAAAATGTACACAACTGACAAAATACTAGAAAATTTAAGAAGGATATAGCTACAGAAGTAACAATGGCTTTTAAATAATGTTTCATTTTACTTCTTGTAAGAGGAAAATTCCAGAATAATCAAGAGACAGTGTGAAGATCTGAATCATATTTTAAATTTCACTTAGGTATGAGCCTGAGATTTTAAAAAATATACATGTATATATGCCACAAAATTAAAAATCTTATTTTCTTAAAATTTAATTTTCCATCTTTAAACATAAAAGAACAAAATAAAATTTTTTTGACCTACCTGAAATAGTTTCCTTAGCACTATTTTCAGTGGCTTTGACTTCCATACTGGTCTTTATTTCAGAGTTTTCTGCATGAAATAGTCTGCTTTAATAGTCTAGAAAAACACACTAATATAATTAAACTAATGAATCTAAACAGGAACTTAAATGAGTTTATTTTGTCATTTTAAGTCTCTTTAGACTGACCTGATTTAAGTCAAAGCTAATGCAGACTTTTCTTTGAAAATCAAAACAATCCCTTTGAAAATTTTAAAGCAGTAATTCCAAAATATACTTCAAATGTACACAAGGAGATCTAAAGAAAGCACTTAAACGAATAAAAAGCGTTTAAAGCTTACCTGGTACAACCACAGGTTTACTGGTGTCTCTGTTTTTGACAATGCAAGCCTTTTTGACTTCTAGAGACCTCTTTCCACCAGATTTTGCTTTTAAAAGTAGAAGTGAACAATTATTCTAAGGATACGTTCATTTAACATGTTTCATAATAATACATATAAGTAATGTGGTCCAACTTCATTATAAAGGCAGTTTTTTTCCATATAGTTATTATTTCCACTTATACCTGTTTACCAATAAGATTAAAAGCAAATTTAAAGGGGCAACTGGGTGGCTCAGTGGGTTAAGTATCTGCCTTTGGCTCAGATCATGATCCCAGGACCCTGGGATTAAGCCTCAAACAGGGTGCCCTGCTAAGCTTCTCCCTCTGCCTCCTGCTTGTGCGTTTTCTATCTCAAATAAATAAATTTTTTAAAAAAGCAAATTTAAAATGAGATACAATTCTTGTTGATGGCCATTAATGGGCCACAGGTTTATCTTCCATGTGGCAGAAGCATTATCATAATTACACAAAAATTTTTTTGTAATTTCTACAAAGGCTCTTTAAAATTACCCTATATGTTAATAAACGGATCATGTTAGTTTCAACATGTTACATTTCTTTCTTTATAGAGGAAATATATTCTTTTAACAGGGAAAGAAAAATATTTTTTGGAGTAACAAATTGAAAAATTTACAAGCTGGGGAAGGTAATATGAAGTGACAGCTCTAAAAAATGAGGAAAATAAAGATTTGTAGGGGGAAGTGGCAGAACAGTCTGTAATTATACAGCTGTCAAAAATGTTTCATCCGCAAAAATATATCTGCAATGGCACACACTGTCAAAAACCAATGTACCAAAAAATAGAAGTCCCATTATGTATCAGGTTTTAAATATCAAAGAAGTATCTACTAAACTTTTCAAGATGTTATTAGATACTATAAATTATATGAATTTAAAACTTGCTTTTGGTATTATGTTTATTATATTCTTCAAGGCAGGATTAAGAACAAACTTAATAAATCCTCTCTCTCCGGAAAGTCTTACCTGTTTTGACTGAAGCTTTATTACCTTTAGCAGCTACTGTTACCACAGATTTTACAGAACCCGCTGATTTCCCTAAATCACAAAAGCTGTAGTCAAAATTGGTTTACTAGGATCAACAGGTCAGTTTCTAAATCTAGCAATGATGACAATTTCTTCAGGGGAAAAAAAAAAAAATCACTAAATTAAGAATTCACCTCCCCAGTGGGGTACTTAAAAATAGCATTCGGGCAAGTTAAATAAACCTCTGAATGTGTGGATCAACTAAGAAGCAAAATTACTAACTGTAAAGATATAAAAACAGTCCCATAACGCTTTTAATGGTTTCATAAACAGTTATAATTAGGGTCTCCCAGCCCAAGCTTCCTTGGCTCCCAGCTGACTGAAAAGCATTCAAGAACATCTTCATCATGGTTAAGCCACATAAAGCCTGCTTTGACTCATTCGTAGTGGGCTCTATGTGAACAGGACTATTTAAATTGTTCTGACCCTTCTTTGTACATACGCATCTTTATTTTCGAAGATAATGTATAAAGACTGTGATCATCAAAGTGTTACTGAAAAGATCACCAGAGAGTAAAATCCCTTTCTATTCAGAGAGCAACATGAGGTTTAGCTCTGAAAATGAGGACTCACTAACAACTAGCAAGGCTGCATTATGAGGAAAAAGCTCAGAATCAGAAGTCAGTAGATCAAGTTGAATTCCAAATTAAATTGTGAAGTCTTGGGGCATGAATCAATTTCTGTGCACATTTGCCCATTTGTAAACAAGGGTGGCGATTGCTATAATTACTTAAGAGGACCCTTGTAAGAATATGATTATGCTTGGGGCGCCTGGGTGGCTCAGTTGGTTAAGCGACTGCCTTCGGCTCAGGTCATGATCCTGGAGTCCCAGGATCGAGTCCCGCATCGGGCTCCCTGCTCGGCAGGGAGTCTGCTTCTCCCTCTGACCCTCCTCCCTCTCGTGCTCTCTCTCATTCTCTCTCTCTCAAATAAATAAATAAAATCTTTAAAAAAAAAAAAAAAGAATATGATTATGCTTTTGAAAAATTATCATACAAGTAAAACTGACATGCACAAAAATCAACTGAAGCAGTTTACAAATCCACCCTTTATATCCAAAGATAGACCCTAACCTTTGCTCAAAAAGATTAATACCAATCCTTATAGAGTATCACCTAACCAGTCATTTCTTTGTCAATCCCAAGTTTGGACACACTGCTTGAGTCACACTGACCCCCAAATGGCTCTTAAGTATTTCTTTCACTATCCGTGTATTATTACAAATCAACTCACTTTACTACTTCTAGCTGGGCACCAGAACTTAAGGAAAAAATATGGAGAATTAATTTCCCAGCACAGTTAAGGGGTGGCTAAGCAGCTTTAACACCCATTTCCCCCAAATCTCTACCAGAATTCCCATAAACTATCAAACTGTTTACTAAATAAATGCATCCTCAAAACAGTATTTCTAGCTTCCCCTGACCCCCTCAGATTACTGCTTCGAAGAACCTACTATATAAAAATTCTGGATCTGCCACTAACAACGGTATTTACCAATGCAAAGCTTCCTTTCTACCATTACAGAGAAGATAATTTAATATATTGATCTCTATCCACTTAAAAAGATGACCCTAAACTAACCAGCATTTAGCAGAAATGAGAAGTAGGAAGGATAATGCTAGAGGAAGGAGAAAAAATAATTACTTTAAACCCATGAGGGGCGCCTGGGTGGCTCAGCTGGTTAAGTGTTTGACTCTTGATCTCAGCTCAGGTCTTGATCTCAGGGTTGGGAGTTCAAGCCTGGCACTGGGCTCCATGCTAGGCGTGGAGCCTACTTAAAACAAACAAACAAAAAAACCCCACTAAAGTCCATTAACAACTGAAAAGAAAATATAATTTTGCTGTTTGTTATCTGAACTATTTTATTAAAGAAAGTAAACCGAGAGACCTCAATAAAAGAGAAAGAAGGGGATTATCTTATTTTGATAATTACTACAAAGGAGTATTATCTACTAAGTCTCCTTTTTCAGAATTTCTAGATGGCTATAAATTAAAAAAATTAATATACACCCAGCACATACTTTGTCACATGAAATCCAAGACTACCGTTATATACTTAAGTAATTTAAAATTAACTAATATATCTAGAATTTTAGCAAAAAACATACCTGAAGACTTATTGACTTTGGCTCCAGATGTCTTGGCTTGTCCAGTTTTGGCTAATAAGAAAAACATATCAATGACACATTACAAATACTTTCATTTAGATTTAGGGAAGAGCTAACCTGGCAATGACTGAGAAAAACACTGTAAAAAAATATCCTTAATCTCATCTTTGTATGCTTGTGAAACTATACAGGTAAATTCTGAGACATGTAGTTGCTGAGACAGAAGGAAAAGATTTAAATTTTAACAATATTAAATTGTCCTGCATGAAGACTGTACCAATTGATATTCCCATCAATAGCACACGAGAGTGGGGCTTCCAATTTCCACACATAGGAGATAAGAGATGTTATTAATCACTCCAATCTGAGATGGACACCGGTACGGATTTTTATTTCTTTAATTAGGAGTAAAGTTGTGTTGATTTTCACATGTTTATTAATTCAACACTATATCTTTCTTATGTTTAATTCAACACTATGTCTTTCTCTGTGATCTGCTATTCTTAATATTTGCCAATTTATCTTCTGGGTTGTTGAGGTTTTTCTTACTTACTAAGAGGTCTTTATATATTAAGAAAATTCATCTGTATCACATAGTAACAACTTTTTAAAAAGTTACACAAAATACTTATGTAAAAATACTTTTTATGCAATCAAGTATTTTCCTGATAGGGAAGGATGCCCTCACTCTGCAATTAAAACCAAACAAAAAAACTCTCCATATTTCACTTTTACAAAGTGACTAGGCAATTTAATGAATAATTGATCTTTTCCTTGCTAATTTAAAATATTGCCATAATTATTTACTGATGTTCCGTATGTCCTGGGAACTACCTCTGGAATCTCTCTGTCCTACTGATCTTTTGTCTATTTGTGCAACTACATGAAACTATAATGAATCTTTACCTCTGTAACATATTTTAATATCTGTTAGTGCTAGTCTGTCCTAATTATTCTTCCTCTGCAGAATTTTCCGGTCTCTTCTATGTTCATTCTTTATGTATAAACTTTATAATCAGCTTATATGGTTTAAAAATCTTGTTGTTAGTGCCAACTATATTCAAATTAAAAAAGAATCTTACTGGCAGTTTTATTGGGTTCCTAACATTTATCTTAATATAAGAAAAAAAAAGCACATTATAATGGTGAGAAGCTTTCAATCAAAGAATGAGCTGTTTTCCCACATAGCACTACTTTATGCCTTACAGTATTTTAAAATTCTTTTCATAGCTTTTACCCTTATTATTTTAAATGGAATATTTTATTAGATTTCATTAAGTGGTTACTCTTTCTATATAATAAAGCAATTGAAACCCTATATGAATTTAGAAAATTAAGGTGACTAATTAGATTTAATAGCATTTCAGTAGACTCTCTTGGGTTTTCCGTCATACATACACATTTGCAAATAATAATGTTGAATCATACTTTCCAATTTTTATGCCTCTTGACTTGCACTGGCTAGTGGCTATTAGTTTTAGGACAATATTTATGTTAATTCACAGAACTGATGAGTATCCCTTCTTTTGCCCCTAACCTTAATGGGAACACTTCTACTAGTCTCACTATTAAGTATTAAGTAATCTGGGACAAAGCGTAAAGGGTCATTTATTCAATGCTAAAGAATTTGGACTTTCTCCTATGAGTCACTAAGAGTAGAATGATCAGATCTGCCTTAAAGAGATCTCAGGGCAACAGTATGAATAATGAAGCAGAGAGTGGAATAAAAATACCAGTCAGGAGGCTATCCTCAAAATTCAAATATGAATCAAAACAGTTACAGGTGTGATGAAGCAAAGGCAAAAGACATAGCATGAATGAAATAGATTTGAGAGAGAACCAATTTGAATCAGCCACTGATTGTATGAAAAGAGGAAGATGTTATTTAAGTTTGAACTGAGTAGGACAGAAGAGAAAAGACAGAGAAAGGATTACTAACAATTTCTACACTGGATGATGAGTGATGACTGTTAGATAACAAATGAGAGGAGTAAACTTGAGGGGGTAGAGGTTTGTGTATGTATACAAGATGTCAGTGGTCCTTAATGCTGTACGAAGATAAAATCAGGAAGAAAAGTATGACATAAGAGGAACAGACATTTAGGGAAACCATTAAGGGAAGATAAAAGAGCAATCAAAGGAGATTAAGAACAAGTTTTCATTCTCAGAGAGGTAGTTTAATGTAAGTGAAAAGCTCTGAAATCATACAGTTTTAGATCTGAATCCTTACTCTTACCCCAAGTCATTTAACCTTGAGTAAGTTATTAATCGCTCAATCTGTTTTCTCATCTATAAAATGAGAAGATGATTTGAAAGATTAAGGAAGAAAACATAAATTGCCTAGTATTAGTGTAACCAATGCTAAGTTTCTTTCCCTTGTTTTCTGTCTTCTGGCATAGATTATGCCCCTTAGTAGACTCTTCTGTTTAACAAATCATTACCTTATTCTAAAGTAAATTCAAACTCCAAACTAACCCTAGATCTCCTTTACCCTGTTACAACACTTTCCACTTTATAAAACGTTATTTAGTATATATCATCTGTCACCTCAAGTTAGTATATAAGCCACTTGGAAATAGAGATCTTGCCTACTGGTTTACTGATATATCCTAATACTTTAAAAAGTACATCCAATTATGAGCATATAGCAGGTGCTCAGTATTCTTTCTTTTTAACTAGTGATGGGTAATGGTTCTCAAGTTCTCTTTCTGATCCAATTATACTTTTGCTTCCTTCCTGTACTTCTACTTCATCCTTGTTGATTTGTGCTTATAACCAAAGTTCTCTTTAAAACTACCTTATTAGGGGAACCTAAGTGCCTCAGTCAGTTGAGCGTCTGACTCTTGGGTTTCCACGCAGGTCATGATCTCAGCATCCTGAGATCCAGCCCCACATTGGGCTCTGCACTCTCAGTGTGGAGTATGCTTCAGACTTCCCCTCCCTCTGCCCCTCCTTGTTCTTGCTCAGTTGTGGGCACCCACGCGTGTGCACACTCTCTCTCTCTCTAAAAAATAAATAAAAACTACCCTAATTAGCCTATCACTGTTCAATCTGACATTGCTAATCTCAAAAAAGGTATCATGCACCCTTACTTCACCTGACACTTTCTCAATCCTATTTACCAGCTCCTGTCTTTCTACATTTCTATTCGAAGGCAGGATGTACTTGGTTTGAAGCACTTCTCCCTCTAATCATTACTTTTATTATGCTAGGACCACTCCCAAAATTTAGACCTTACACTTAACAAAAAATTTCTCAAGTATCCCACTTTCAACACCCTGTGACTGGCTGACCTAAGGGTATCTCCACTAGATAAGTATTTGACAGCTGAAATTTATCAATGTTGAAATCTGAGTTCATGGTTTTTCTCAAAGAAATCACTACATCTAAGTTTTCCTGTTACATATATATATATAATCAATATCACCACACTCTTCTAGTAAAATCTACCTAGTCTAAAACCTTGAAAATTTTAAATTATTTTAATTTTATCCACTAGAAAATTTACAGAATAAACATTCAGATTTTACCATCGCACACCATTTTAATTAACATTTTTTTATATCAGGCCCCTATTACCTTAAAGTGAATCCCAACAGTGTTTTCTCAACAGGATTTTTCTTTCCTTTCTTTCTTTTTTTTTTTTTTTTGGTGCAAAAAGGTGGTTTTATTAAAGCATGGGGAAACGACCCATAGGCAGAATGAGCTGCTTCAACAGGATTTTTCAGTCTCTCCATTTATCCAATCTATATAAGAATCCTACACAACTAGTGGTTCTTTATTCTCTGTGGCAATTTCCCAGAGTCTGTAACCATTACTAGGCCTTACAGAGGAAAAACGGCAAGAATCTTAGCCAAGCTTCATGAACAGTGGGTTAAACAGGTTTCTTTCCTGCACTTCATAATGGGAATGTGTTCTGTGGAGTTTTTTTTTTTTTTTTAGAAAAAAAAAAAAAGCTATAATACAAATCTGATCCAAAACATCTTCCAGGAATTAGTCTCTCACACTCTATTTTGAGAAATGCTATTAATGAAGTCAAATTCAAAAACTTCCCAGCACAACGCTTCAAGGACTTCTACAAAGTGATTCCCCAAATCTGTTACCTTTGTTGTATCATCTCCCTAACTAATCTTCTGCATCTCTCTATCCCTCCTTCCCCATATATATGTACACACATACATATATATATATGAATTTCTGAATAGAAATCCAAAACACACTATACACCTGTCTTTCTAAGAGAACATACAAAACAATCTAACTTTCTAAATATAGTTTATGTCGGGGCGCCTGGGTGGCTCAGTTGTTAAGCGTCTGCCTTCGGCTCAGGTCATGATCCCAGGGTCCTGGGATCGAGCCCCGCATCGGGGTCCCTGCTCAGCGGGGAGCCTGCTTCTCCCCCTCCCACTCCCTGCTTATGTTCCCTCTCTCACTGTCTCTGTCAAATAAATAAATAAAATCTTAAAAAAAATAAAAAAATAAAAATAAATAAATAAAGTTTATGTCTACTTTATTTTAGCTTTTCTTTCTCATCCTTCACTATCAAGCCATTTATTCTTAATAAACTCAAGAGTGTTTGTTTTGGCAGTAAAAGAAAATTCAGTTTATTAAAATTGTATAGAAACTCACTTAGTTAGATTCATAACAAAGACCTGCAATGTTTTCCTGAGTATAAAGAAACAACTTTAACACATGAGTGTAATAACATCGATTTCTGTTTGGTCTTTCTTGTTTACCTTTTGGCTCTCAGCAAACTTTCAAAATCAAAGGAGACTAAAGAGCAACTTTAACACGTTTTGTCTTATATGTTTTGTCTTATTGGTAGGGGATGGAAGGAGGTATTACAAAATTAACCTAAACAGCTATTACCTATGGAACTATGCATTATCTCATTGAGTCTTCATGTATTAACTCTTAACCACTAGAGCTTAATATGGGGGCCAATATGGGTCCCCTCTACTAAAGCACAATAATGTTTTCCTAGCATCATCTTGCAAGAAGTTTCTAGTAAACTGACAAAATATACTTATTTGGAGTATTAAAAGTAACAACTTACTGGCAGAAGCTGAAGTCACAGTTTCAACAGCTTTGGAAGCGTCTATATCTTTTCTATTTGAAAGAAGAAAAAATTAGGCAAAGATTGAAATTCTAAGTTTTAAAGCTTTTTCTAAAGATGCAAAGTTTAAATCTAAAAAAGTTTAGGGGCACCTGGCTGGCTCAGTAGGTAGGGCATGCGACTCCTCATCTCAGGGTCATGAGTTCAAGCCCCACGTTGGGCATAGAGCTAACTTAACAATGTCCCATTTAAACTGGAGTCAGGATAATAAAATATATTAAAAATGCAGTTGTATAAAAATTTTTAAATTAATTCATATGCACATTCATTCTCGCATATGAAATCATGGAATTACTTACTTTAAAGTAGCTGCAGATGCTTTCTTTGAATCTGCGGTCTTTTTCTTCATCTCTTTGTTCTATGAAAGAAAAAGATTTTGAAAAAAAATCTTAGTTTCTTCCGCAATTATAAAGGGCACTTTAGAAAATACACACAAGCATAAAGAAATACAACAAAAAACATTATTATGAAATTCAGATCAATTTAACATATATTTACTGACTATTCACCAATCGTCAAGCACAATTTTAGGCACTGGAGAGGAGTAGTAAATAAAACAAAGTCCCTACTTACTCTCGAACAAGATTAACTTCAAGGGGTAAGGAAAGAAAAACCACAAGGAAATTAAAAATACATACATATTATGTCTGTTAGCAACAAGTGCTGTGGAAAAAAGTAAGAGAGAAAGGAAACAGAAGTGCTCTTGCTGGGGAATGAGGAGCAACTTCCAATAAGTTTGTTATACAACCCTCACCGAAAAGGTGATATATGAGCAAATACCTAGAAGAGGTTAAGAGAGCAAGCCACTACCTGTGTTGAGAGCATTCCAGACAGAAGGAACAGCAACTGTAAAAGGCTTTTGAGCCTACTAGCTTGTTTTAGAAGTATAAATGATGCTTGGGGTTGGAAATAGAGAAGGAGAGAAAGAGGTATGGAGTGGTTTGGGAGTAGAGTGTGGGTGGAATGTGTGGTGTAAACTCATAAGCCATTTTGAGTACTGGCTTTTCCTCTGAGTGTGATCAAAAGTTCTGAGTCTAGGAATGGCAAGATCTGGTTCCATGTTGAGAATAGTCAAGGTGAGTGAAAAGGCAAGAAGAGAAGGACAATCTCTATTGTCATAATGCTACTATAGTAACAAAGCAAAAGACGGTGGTAGACTGGACCAGGGTGATAGCAATTAGATACTGAAATGTCACGGTATTATTTGAAATATTTGTTGTAAGACAGTGATAAGAAAATGTACATCAATAGTAAAAGGCAGAATTAATGAATTACAAAGAATTGACCTTTCTTCCATTCAACCTTGAGAATGTGTTGCTCTGCTATCTAAGACTAGACTATTCCTTTTCATATTTACACTGTTTCTACCTGAATCACTAGAGGCTGCCCCTGCATAACTATAAAATTTAAAATCTTCAACTGTATTAAAGTGGTGTCCTCTTTCTGGAATTTCAGTTATATGCAGATTGGGTCTCCCAAATATATCCACGTCTTTCCTCTTCATTACTAATAGACTGTAAGTTCCAAGAGTGAGAGCACATCTGTCTTGTTCATCACTCTATCTTCTGCAGATACCACAATGCCTGACATATAACAGATTTTTAAGAAAGTTTTTCAATTAAAATGAAATTAAACTCTCATCTGATGAATTCTCTCTTTGGTTTTGTTACTCATTTAGATTTTTCTATAATGTTCAAACCAGTGATAACTGTTTTCCAGCACTGTTTTCCATTTCCATGCAATCTTCTTGGATCTTAGCTGACTGCCTACTCTGGGTTTTCAATATAATGTCGCCATGAATCTTTCCGAAAATACTAAATTAAAATTTTTAAGTTTTGTTTTCGTAGAGTTGAGCTGCAGCACTATTTCAGAGTTGCAATGGAAAATCTGATACTTTTTTGTAGATCAAGTGTTCCTGCTCCATTAAAGAAAATTTTGAGAGTATGGACTACTGTCTAATTCTGTGGGGGGGGGGGGGGAAGCTTGCTTTCATCAGATTCTTGGTAGTGGTGGTGGTGAAGGTAGCTCAAAAATGGCTAAGAATCAGTATTAAGAACTGAGGTCTACATTGGCTTTTAATTAAAGACAAGGTAACTGAGTTTGTTAAGAGTTGTGCAGATTCATTCACCTAAATCCTTCAGGTTTAAATACAGGGATGAGGGCAATTTTCACCTTTTTTTTTAACATTTCTTTATTGATTTGAAGAAGTAGCCAAATGGAGAGAATATTCTTTGAATCAAAGCCAGAGTCAAAGGCAGTCCTAACATGAAATATCAAACGTGGGCAGAAACCTTTTGTCTTGGTTTGACTATTCATGCCAAAATTAAGATCTGGGCCAAGAAAGCTATAGCACTGCCATTCTTCCTAGTTTGGGCTCCCAGCCTACTTTTGGCTTGCTCTAGCAAGGAAATTTGATGTCTTCCCCTGTAATAAGAAGCTAGGAAGGTTATCTATACACTTCCAATCTGAAACAGCCATGGCTGTTTCCTCCAGTCAGTCCCTAGGAAGGCTGCTTGATTACAACAGAGGAGTCATGAGTTAGCCCTATCCAAACTATATTTAGTTGAAGAATATCAGTATTTTTGACCCCGATGGTATGTTTTCTAGTTTACAGTGCTGACAGCTTCCCCTATTCATTACTATGAAAATCAGAATAGTAAATATGATTGGGCTCTCCTTGGACTTCTGTTGCTACCTTACCAACCTTATCAAAATGTTATCAAAGAGAATTATTTTAATCTTACTGAAATATTCTTGAAGCCTAAATGTAACCTTATTCACCTATTTTCCCAGATTAAACTTTTCAGTATTAAAGAAGACGGACTTTCTCCCCAGTTCACAAATTTAATGATCAGCCAGGTCTCACCGGCGAGTAACTGGTTTAAGCTGTTTCTCCTTCCTATCTCAAGTTTACTAATCTACCTGAAACCATTACTATCATTACAATAAGCTGGTTGGCTAGATGAGTCTTCTAAATGTACTTAGTGGTTTTTTCCTCGTCTCCCCTTTTAACACTCTTTTCTTTGCCTTCTTCAGTCATTTGCCTAATTCATTCTGCAGATCACTCCCAAATCAATCTATCTAATCCATCCATTTTGTGTCATAGTTCTGTTTAAAACCTTGAATAACACTTAACTGTCTACAGGATAAAGTTTATGTTCTTAAATTATACATTCAATTCTTGCTTCTCCCTAACCTCCTCTGCAACTAGAGAAGGTTATGTGTCACTGTTCTGGTAAATCAAATGTAGGTAAAAGTTGCTGAGAAACTCATTTTTCCATAAAAAAATAATTTTCTTAAAAAATCAAAACCCTTTTTTGCTTTTGATTTTCATTCCTTTATTCCTTTCTTTCTGCTTGGAAGATAAAAATGATGCCACAAGGTACAGCAACCATCTTACAACTGAGGGTGAAAAGTACACGCTAAAGGTGGTGAATCAGAAAAAAAAAGTCTGGGTTCCTGATGATATTATGGAACTGCTGCAACAGCCATGGACCACCTACCTATAGATTTTCTGTTATGAGATAAATAAACCTCCTATTTCTTTCATAAACCACTGGTGAAGTTTTCTGTTAGTTGAAAATATAAGAAACCCTGAGTGATAAAATTGTTAATAACTAGGGTTACCATAAAATTCATTATTCAAATCAGGACAATGGAAATAAATAGATGGCATGTAGCAGATGTAACCTAGGATCATGCATTACTCTAGTAGTAACTAATCAGAAAACAAACGAAATAAAAAATATCGATTCTTTATGGAATAGCAATTTTAGTAGTATTTATGAAATATACACAAATAAATATGTAAGTAAGAAATAAACTTAACATCCCTTCCAAAACGTACACTATGGAAACATTACAAAAGAACATAATGAAAAGACACTAAATGAAGTCTAAATAAACGGAGACAAACCCTGTTTCTGAACAGAAAAAGTATTATAAATCATCAATACAAATTCAATATAATATTAAACTCCCAGTAAGATTTTTCAGAGAACATTTTTAAATGGATTCTAAAACCAATAGCAGGAGTAAATGTTCAAGATTAACCAAAATAAATTTTTGATTTTTATCTATTTATTTATTTGAGAGAGAGAGAGAATATATGCGTTTGCACACAGGAGCATGTAGGCGGAGGAGCAGAGGGGAAGGGAGAGGGAGGGGAAAAGAATTCCAAGCAGACTTCGTGCTGAACATGGAGCCCAACGTGGGGCTCAAACTCAGGACCCTGAGATTAGAACCTTAGCTGAAACCGAGAGTCGGACGCTTAACCTGAGCCACCCAGGTGCCCCAAATATAGTTTATTTTTTCAAAATAAATTTTAAACAAAGAAAAAGGATTCTACTAGAAAAACAGGCAATTATGTAAAATTACAGTAACTGTTATAATGACTGAAATCACACAGTACTGTAACAGAAATAAACAGACTGATCTGACAATAGTCTGATAGAGATATGTGTGTGTAGGGTAATTTATACACATAAAGATAGCTTTTGAAATCAATGAGGAATAACCAGTTAGGTATAAATGGTGTTGGGCTAGTTGGTTATCCATTTTGGAAACAGTACTGATCCCAGTAACACATTAACCACAACTTATAGATCAATATAATAACGGAATCGTATCTTTTTGGCACTGGTATAGAGAAGGTCTTCTAAAACAAGACAAAAGAAAAAAAAAGCAGAAGCCATTAGGATGAAAAAATCAACTTGAGTACACTAAAATTAAAAACTTTATATATGGATATACATATAAACAACATACTAGAAGAAAATACTTCTCATAAGGAATACAAAATTAGTATCTAAAATCATGAACACCTTCAAGTGAAGTTTTTTTAAAAAGGCAAACAATCCAATAGAAAGATGGGAAAAGGTATACACAACTCATTAAGACAGTAATAGCTATTATATTAAGACATTGAAGTTTAATAGTAATCAGGAAAATGCAAATTGAAGCTCGATACCTATTTTACATACTGGATTTTAAAACTGCAAATACTAAGACGTTGTGGATAATAAAACACTAGTACTCTCATTATTATCAGACTGTAAATTATTATAGCTACTTAACATGAGATCTGGTATTACTGTATACCCTATAACCCAGCAATTCCACTGTAGGTATCACCTTATAAAAACAGTACCATAAATGCATAAGAAAGGCCTGTAAAAGCCATAATCAAGGAAGTTAACATAGTCCTGTTATAATAGTGAAAAATTAGAAATAACCTAAATATCAAATCCATAAGGAACTGGTAAAATAACTGTGGTATATTTATACAAAGTGATACCACACAGAAGTTAGGAGGAATGAGGAAAACCTGTATGTACAAACATGGTTAGATCTCCAAATTAAACTGCTGATTGAAAAATGTGTACTACAAAGCCCCTTTGAAGTAGACATTCTTCAGCAAATATAATTACATGAAAAGAACACTCATACACAAAGTTAAACTTACTGAATATATTTGTAAGTACTTCTATAGACATTATCAATATATAAACTAAAGCATAAAAAATGATCTAGAAAGACTAAATTCATAAACAGTAATATTTCTAAGGAAGCAAAAGGCCCAAAAGAATATATACACTCTGTAATTCTCTTTATTTAAAGTTCAAGACAGGCAAAACTCAACTATGGTATTAGAAATCAAGTTAGGGGTTACTTTTGGGCAGAAGGGAGGGTTTAAGGATTCGGAAGAAGTATGAAAGGGGCTTCCAGGATGTTGTCACTGTTAGTTTGTGACCTAGGTAGGTTTCAGAGATGTTTGCTAATTTTTTTTTTTTTAAGATTTTATTTATTTATTTGACAGAGAGAGAGACAGTGAAAGAGGGAATACAAGCAGGGGGAGTGGGAGAGGGAGAAGCAGGCTTCCCGCCGAGCAGGGAGCCCTAAGCGGGGCTCAATCCCAGGACCCTGGGATCATGACCTGAGCCGAACGCAGACGCTTAACGACTGAGCCACCCAGACGTCCCAATGTTTGCTAATTTTGTGAAGTATTTTCTCCTAGTCTATTGCTTGTCATTTAACACTGTTTATAGTGCTATTTATGTAGATATAAAGTTGTTAATTTCAATGTATTTCAATCCATACACAATCTATTGAGTGAACATAAATTTATGTTCCATGCATTTTTCTGTATGTACTATACTTTAAAAAGTCAAACTTCATCAACAACAAGACATGTTTGATCTAAATCCAGTTTACCTGTGATTTTTTCTTTCCTGGAACACATACTTTCACACTTTTCCCTTTTATCAGAAGAGGTGCTGTTTCAATGTACTTCATGACTGCAGTAACTGCCTCTCTAAATTCCATTTCCAAGTAAGCCTAAATAAAATGTATTAAATTTTTAGTCAAAAATCTAACTCAAAATTCTCTGCATGACTTAGTACTTTTTGTACTTTAGAACTTTTTGAACATAAAACTACAAAATTACAAGTCCTGGTTGCTTTTATCTCTTTTTGTTTTGCTAAAGTGTCATTTGATCTCTAGGGTGTTTTCACACATGAAATGGACATTTTACCTTATTACCAAGATAATAAGAGGGGAAACAGGTCCATGGCGCGCTCATGGAATAAATGGAGAAAAGGCAAGATCTGGCCTAGCTGCTGTTAAGTCTGACATTTTTAAGGCTTCTTGCAATAAAGAACACTACCAACTATGTTCCCATCTGTCTCACAATTTTATGTTCTGCTTAGTACAGGGTTGTTCCTAATTTTGATGAACTTTACCGTGTGAGTTATAGGACTATAACCCACATGTAAAAAATACTGTACAACAAAATCATTTTTTAGTATAATCTTACCAGTGTGCTAAAGAAATGAAAAAGCAAACTATAACCTGCCACCTGTTTTTGCGTATGTTTTTTTTTAACACAGCCATACCCATTCATTTGTATATTATTTATGGCTGCCTTTGTACTTCAATGGGAGAATTGAATAGCTGCAATCCTATGGCATACAAAGCCTAAAATATTTACTACCTGGCCCTTTACAGAAGAAGTATGCCAATCCCTATTCTAAAAGATAGAAAACAGTATTTGGGGACCTTGTTCACTGGAATCCAAGCATTTACATTAACTCTCAATTAACAATTATGTATGTAGTAAAAGTTGCTAAAAGATCTTTATAAAGTAATAACCAGACTTTATAACATAGTAACTTTGTATGTATTTTTAGAACAGAATGAATGACTCACTTCTTTTCTATAAGGAACAACGAGGACATCATTAACTTTTCCAAATGGTTGAAATATTTTTCTAATATCTTCTTCAGTACAGCCATCCTCTGGTAATTCAGATATAAGAAGAACTGAACCATAATGCGAAGACTGGTCTTTCCGAAGCTATTTTTGAATGAAAGAAAATAAAAAAAAAAAAAATTAAGCCATAAAGTACAATAATTCCCAATGTAATTTATTCTACCATTGACCTAAGTCTTTTAAACAGACTTTTCTAAATATTTTAGCACAATTAAAAAAAAATTTTTTTTAAAGATTTTATTTATTTATTTGAGAGAGAGAGAAATGAGAGAGCGCACATGAGAGGGGGGAGGGTCAGAGGGAGAAGTAGACCCCCCGCCGAGCAGGGAGCCCGATGCAGGACTCGATCCAGGGACTCCAGGATCATGACCTGAGCCGAAGGCAGTCGCTCAACCAACCAAGCCACCCAGGTGCCCAATTAAAAAAAATTTTTTAAATGCTAAAGTAATAAAAGATATGTTTTATATTTTGCCACTCAACCCTAACAGTGATCAGAGCTTACAGGTAAACACAATCATAGATGCTCTTTTCTGTTTAGAAGCATTTTGTAACAAACAAGACCTATGGAATGGTCCAAAGTACTGAAGAATATTTTTCTACATGAATCTACATGGCCCATCACTAATAAAGATAAAACTACAGCTTTGTGCACTTTGTGTTTTAATAGTTGAAATGATATTTAAATAGGTATAACATTTTTAAAAGACTCATATATACTATGTATAAAACCTGTAATATCAAACTTATCACTTATATTAAAAATTGACTTAAAAAAAGTTCCACTGCCACCATCTAGAAGTCTTGAAACAAAATGAAAAGTGTTATAGATTAATTTAGCCTCTTCAAAATTTTCCCTATACTAAAATTTCTTCCTAACACTCTTCAAAATTGTGTAATTACAGGTCAATTATTTTAAGTGTATCTTTCTAAATATAACCTCTTTAAAGGCAAGGATTTATAGTTGTTGAAAATATTTAGAAATGTATACCTAAATACCTGAAGACTTGTTAATATTACATTAAACATCTGATAATCTGCCCTAACCTTGGCAATTACTCTAATGTTCTCAGGATGCTTTATATACAATCTATTAACATATACAATAAAACAATACCTCAGCATTTTAACTAGCAGGTTATAGTCAAAATACACCAATGAATCAGTACCAGAAAACAGGCTATTCTACATTGGAAAACAGAGTATTTGACTTGTGCACTGTACAGCAAAAAAGTAAAAAATAGATTAAAAATGATCAATTCTCAGTAGACTCACTTTTACAGCTTACTGACAAAGATTACAAAAATTCATTAATGTTGCTGGTGATTACATTCACTTCCCCCACCAGATAGCAAAACTCATCACAATGACCTGCCTGTGTGGTTAGCAAAAACACCAAACCATCAAAATGTTCTCACTTTTGATACATCAAATGCCAAACCTCTAGGATTTATAAGCTACAAGATTTTAAATTAATGGACTTTTACTAAATTCATAAGCACAACCAATAAAACATTCCATTATCAACATAATTTAACAAGCCACCATTTCAAACTTTTAAAATATGAAAATAAAAAATTCAAACAACTTTTTTGTATCATAATGACACATGTATGTATACACTTACACTAACAAATTAAAGTACTGACCTTACGCTGGATAGAAACAGCTTTTTCAGCCACTGGTTTACATTCTGGTAAGGTGTCATCTTCAATATTCTTGGCTTTGTAACGAGCAGAATGTCCCCCCAAATTTCCATCACCCTTTGTAGGGTTTGTAGATTTAACTGATGGCTTTGATCCACTGCCAGTTTTAGGCTTTTGTGCTGGTGAGTGTCCTTTATCAACTATTTCAAGATGTTTCTGTTTACTGAATTCTGACCCAAGTCCAGATCGTTGTACTACATCTTCTAATGCTTTTTTTCTATCTAGTAAAAAGGACATAAATGCAACTTCAACTGAAAAGAACTTTAGATGAAAACCATCTCATCACATTATTAAAAAAAGAGTAACTCCTCAACTGCCCAAATATTTATCACACAGAGCCGCTGTCAGACCAGACAGGAATCAAATACACACAAAACAATTCTCAGTCTTTAATTCTTCATTCATGAGCTAATCTTACACCAGCGGTCCTCAAACTTTTGATTTCAGTATCCATCTTCACTTTTAAAAACTGAGGACTCCAAAGAGTTTTTGTGTTAAATTTATCAATATTAACCATAAGATACTTAAATCGAATTTTTAAAGTATTTACTAATTCATTTAATAAACTCCTGTGTTAGCATAAGTAACATTTTTATGAAGAACAACTTTAATTCCCAAAACAAACAAAAAATTAGTTAGATGAGTAGCACCACTATGTATTTTCCCAAACACTTTCAGGCTGGGCTTAAAAACCTGGACTCTCCTATCTGCTTCTGCAACCAATCTGATAGAGACATTGTTTTGGTTGAAATGTATAAAGGAAATTCAGCTTCACAGACATATAGTTGGAAAGTGAAAAACTTGGAGACCTCTAAAAGATCTCAGAGGACACATATATGAGCTATTCTAGAAATGTCACTAAACCAGTATTAGGACACGGTTGAAAATATGAGAAATTTCAAAAAACTTTTAGACTAATTCATGGGCAAACTAAGATGTTGGCATATCCGCAGTTTTTAAATTTGATTTTGGGCAGATAGATACACTCTTCCACACTTCTTCTGTTAATAAAAGGAAGAAGAATGGACTAAGGTTGGGATGTGGGTCAATTTCACACAGAAATTCTAAAATAAAATAAAACAGAGTATTATATATCTATCTTATTAAAAGAACTAAGGCAAATAGCTCAAAATGTCAACTTTTGTTAAATCTTGACAGTAGTATATAAGTCATGATTTCAAACTTATTAAAAATATAGAATTTAAAAATGCAAACAAAAAACTTAAAAAATTTAGTCAAAATAAGTAAATTTATTATGTTATATTGTATATTATAGTATATATTATTATTCATAACCATAAGTGTACCTGATGATCTCACTGATCTCCGTGATGTCCTTTCAGGGCTAACTGAGCGAAAGCATTTTGGACTACCTCTAAATGGATTTCTCATTCGATATGGTGAACGGGATCTGGATCTGTATCTAGAAATGAAACGATGGCAAATTTTTGGACTTCGGCTTCTTGGTCTGTATATATAGCGTACTGGGCTTCGAGATCGATGGAATCTATGACTTGAGCTTGATCTCCTAGAACGTCTAGGACTGGGAGAATGAGAACGTCTTCTTGGAGTTTCATTTTCTTTTCTATTGCCTTCATTTCTATAAAGTATGGGGGGGAATCACAAGATTCAGGGATTTAATGTAAATTTAAGTCATATTAAGTTATAGGACAGAAGTTCCTTCTTAACAACAGACTATAAGGAATACCAAACTCTGATACCATATTTTATTTAAAACAAAAACCTATTTGTTATGACACAATTCACCCTCACAGATAAATAAGAAACAATCAGAACAGATGCTCTGTCCTCTAATTGCTTGGATCCCTGTTTTCCTAATATACAGAAGAATATCCTCCACCAATTTCTTGGGCTTTTCCTGTACCATTTTATAGCCAACTATATATTGAAAGTATTAAGTTATATAAAGAATTTAAGAAGTGATTTACATAAACAAATGTTTTTCAACTTTTTCCTGAGATTATGCCACCTACAAATATTTCTTTTTTTTTTTTTAAGATTTTATTTATTTATTTGAGACAGAGAGAGAGAGAGAGACAGTGAGAGAGAACACAAGCAGAGGGAGAAGGAGGCCTCCCGCTGAGCAGGGAGCCCCAACGCGGGGCTTGATCCCAGCACCGTGGGATCATGACCTGAGCTGAAGGCAGACGCTTAACAACTGAGCCACCCAGGTGCCCCTCTACAGATATTTCTTTGACTACTGTACTTGTATATACAAACATTAAATAGGGACCTCCTAGGGAATACAAAGCTTAATAAAACCATTCCCAGCCTTGAAGGCATTTATAACATAAGACCCCACAAACATAAACAATAACAAAAGCATTAAGTATTTTCATAAGACTAAAAAAAAAAAAAGACGTTCAACAGAGGCAAGCTGTCACATTTAAGCTGGGATAATTAAAGAAAGATTCATAGAGATTGTCGCATTTGTCTGCTGTTTAAAAGTAAAAATGATCAAAACAGGAACTCAATTAAAAACAGTACCTTTAAAAAAAAAAAGTACCTGTTTACTTTTAAAAGAAAATCAAGTCTCAACAATACCACTATTCAAAAAATTACCTTCTTGATGGGAGGATCTCAGGATTCCAATCGGGATACCTATTTTGAGAATAAATAGTATTAATGAACAGTTAAAATGGGACTGTATGTCTCAATCTTTCCCTGCAATGTATCAGGAGGACTGTTCAAAACTTAAGTTTACATAGTTTACACAGTTATTAGTATACTAAAATATGAAAATTTCTGGAAAGTATGATATTTTCAGTGTCTAATTCAATAAATAATCAAAGCATTATTCTAGTAGGCAATTCAAGGAATAGAAACACATTCCTAATACATTAAAGACTTCAAAGTGGGGCGCCTGGGTGGCTCAGTCGTTAAGCGGCTGCCTTCAGCTCAGGTCATGATCCCAGAGTCCTGGGATCGAGTCCCACATCGGGCTCCCTGCT